CACAGGAAACAGGGTAGAGAGAACGTAGGGCACGAGCAAGCGGAGGCAAAGCTGTGATAGAGTTTTGCTAGAAAAGGGAGCAGAGAAATGGTTGGAAGAGGACTTGGGATCAAGGAAGGTTGTTTTTGTTGCTGTTGTTTAAAGATTGATGACATATTTGTATGCTAAAGGGAACAATTCGATAGAGGAAAATATTGAGAAAGTGCGTAATGGTAGAAGCAAAGTTGTTGAGAGAAGAGATGGAATAAAGCAGTGCATGAGAGAGGTTGGCTGTGGGTGAGAACAGGGCCACCCCACCCAGGGAGGAGGAGTAAGCACTGAAAATATGGGGCGAGGGGAAGGTGGGTTTGGAGTTGGGAAGATGATGTCGCTCTCGTCCGATTCCTTCTGTTGTCTAGAAAGGTATAAAATTGTCGTCGTGGAGAGAAGGAATGGAAATTTACTAGGGGAATGTAGTGGATTGTTGGACACACCAGATGCCCGCTTGAGACTTTGGTCACAAATGTAATGTGTGATCAGGCAAGTATGCTGTTTTCTTGCCCTGTTCGGCTGCTCTGGTGTGGGTTTAACCTGGGTGAAGATTCCATCAGGTAGTAACATAGGTTCTGTGGGAGACCGGTGCAGAAGAGGAGAGTGATTCTAATGACGGATGAAGTACTCTTAAGTGTGAGGAGAGAAGTAGAGGACATGAGGACTAATGTGAGACGGAAAACTGATGGGGTTGGTGAGGTTGGACAACCTGTAGGTTTTTAACTCAACCCTTAACTTCCTCTCCTGGCAGATGGCAAAGGCTCGTGGTGGAGCCACAGTAGTGCCCGAGGTGAAGAAAAGCTCATGCAGAAGGCTGTTAGGGTTTCAGACATGCTCACCTCCTGGTGTTTATTTTTTTTTTCTCTCAGAATCATAATCTATGTAATTTCCATGGGATCTCTAAGAAACATTTAATTGAAAGGAAATCTCATTGAATTGTGTTTAAGATATATATTGTTTTTGCCTTTGAAGGCCATCCTACTGAGAATAGAAACTTTGAAGACCCTTTTGCCAAATATCTATGACAGCATTTTTCAGGATATACATATACATGAAGGGGGTGCTTGCTTGCTTTCTTTCCTTTTTTCTTTTTAAATTGATAATGGCCTGGTTGAGATTGTGACATCATGATGTACGCAGCTGGACTCTTTATCTTCTACTCAGATACTGTTACACTTTGTCACCGAGGTTGACTGGTCAGTCTTTCCCTTGAGCTCGTTATTAGGATTATAAAACTGATTTACTTTAGGGCTATATTATATGAAGCCTTTTACCATGATCCTAGCCATTAGCAAAGTAAGCTGTCCTTACGTTTTCATACATGGGCTCAAAATTCTCAGGCTTTGATTTTTCCAAAAGGAGCCTCACTCAGCATGTTTTTAAAGATACGGCAGCGGCATCCTTCTTGAGCCTCAGTCTTCCTTTATTTGACAGTTGTCTTCTGGGCTAATTCTGCAGTTAAGTCCTATTTGATTGACTTGCTATGATTTTGGTCACACTTTATGTCCTCTTCAGTTAGGGTCTTCACTGTTGGTAGCTTGAGCCTTAGGACACGATGAGGGTTTAATTCTTTCTCTCCTGATTAATTGTTCAGAAGTCCCTATTTTATAAGATTAGGCCACTTAGATATGCTTTGGAAACAAATCTCTTTTTTGGATCTTTTAAAAAAATTTTCATTTCCCTCTTCAGAAACGCAAACACCCGACGACAGGAATTATTGCCATCACATTGGCATTTCACATATGTCATGAAGTTCATCTTGCTGGTTTCAAATACAACTTTTCTGACCTCAAGAGCCCCTTGCACTACTATGGGAATTCCACCATGTCTTTGATGAATGCGGTAATATATACACACTTTGGTCTAATCTTTGATCTTTAGAGTTGGACAGCCCGTATTCTCTCTTCTGTCATTTTACTGAGGGAGCAGGTTTTGAGAGGTTGACAGGGCTTACAGAGTGACCAAGTGCTGAAACTTGGACTCAGGCCCAGGGGTTATTTTACTACAGCAGCTGTTCCCAATCTGGGGGGTCTCAGAACCCCGGGAGAAGCTTGCGGCTATTGTCAAGTGCCATCAACCCATCAAACCCCAGCCTTATCTTAGATGCTGAATCATATTTGCACTATTTAAATATGGACAACCTGCTGTTTGAGATATTGCAATTCACCTTTTCAGGCATCGCCATGCTTACAGTAAGTATTTTCCTGTTTTTTAGCGTAGTACGTGAGGAGATCTGTAACATTTTAACCCCATGAAGAATATTCATGGTCAAAAGTTGCAAGCCTGTATATTAGATCCTGCTTCCCATGGTTGGGGATCAATGGTGGTAGACTTGATCCTTAAGATTTTTATTTTAATGATTGAATGGGAAACAGTTTTCTGTTTTCCTAATTCTAACTTAGATTAGTGGTATATACCAAGTGACAGGATTAAAATATTATATGTACAGTTTTAATATTGAAATATGATTTGCTGTAAAGTATATAGATATATCCTATGAAATCAGTGCCCTTAAATCATCATCGCCCAATACCACATAAGACGAAGAAGTGGATTATTCAGGTTGGAGCTTAACACTGTCTTTCTGCCCCTCACACCCGCCATGTAAGATACACTGAGTGGCTCAAGAGATGGGTGCTTGGGGCAGAGTCCAGGCTCCTTTCTCCTCAGCCCTAATCTTTCCTGTAGCTCTTGTGGGATTTCTCACCTCATCTAAGGAATAGAAGGTTACAACAACTTCCTGAGGAAAATTAGGATATCCATCAGTGGAACAGAATTATTTTTTAAATACTTCTTAAACTGAGCATGCTTTACGGTGGTTTCTTACCTCCAGGCTGACTTCTTGTCTATTACGAGCACTGGGTGCTGCTTTTGTTAAAGTGATCCACCTGTTCTGACTTCCACTTTTGGTCTAGATTTACACCATGATTCAGCAGACCAGGGGACAAGGTGGGGGAGCCTTATGTCACGGTTTAAGTGGAAAGAAGGGGCTTTAGGGAAAGCTCTGGCAAAAGAATGAACAAAGAAAAAGAAATCAGAAAGGGAACAGAGTTGAAACTCCCTGCCCCTTGTTACTGAGTTTCTTATTCAGAGCTTTTGAGAGACCGCGCACGCGCTGCTGCTGCTGTCCTTGTTCTGAGCGGGACAGATGCTGACTGTGCTTTATTTTTCTTCTTTAGAGCAGCTATCACAATTTGACTGCAGAGCAGCTCTTTTTGAAGGACATTATAGAAAAAAACTTTGTAATCAACCTCACTCAAGATTGACCCTACAGACTCAGAAGATGATGCTAACAGTATTAGTTTTATTTTTATACTGCAATTTTTAGTTTATTTTTAAATGTGTTGGATGCACTCATCAAAAAATTATGTACATTAAGTCTGTTGCTGCCTGGTCATTCATAACCACCGGCTTAATTTCTGTGAATATATTTAATTTATGAAAATCAAGCTGTTTAGTTATCAGGGAAATAAGTAAAGTTTTGATTACATTGTTTTTAAAATAAGCTGGTTTTCTGAGGTGTTTTTAAACATCTTTTTAATGGTTAGTCTGTCTTTGACTTTTGAAGGGAGGTGACTTCCTAATAAGGGGTTTTAGTTTACCACAACAAATTCTGAATATGACATGACATTTTGAGTGGTGTATTTGGCTGCTGTAAATTGGGGGGCTGGCACGTGGCTGTGCCTGGATGTGCAAATGAGCCACTTCAAGCGGATATCTGGACGACTGCTGAAATCCTTTTTGTTCTCCCTGAGGAATTGGATTTGAATCTTAAACCAGCCCTGAATACAGTGGATGGTTAGGGAAATCTAAGATCATACTAGTTTAGTTAAGCTTTTTTCCTGCAATTAAGCAAACCATGATTGAGTAATTTGGTAGAATGAAGATGGTGTTTAAGTTGAAGGAAATAGGCTAAACATGAAATTCTGGATGAGTAAATAACCAAAGAATGCAATTACTAATGTCTGGTGACTGCATTATTTTAAAGAAAGAAAAAAGTTTATACAAAGAAGCTGAGCTCGGTAAACTCAAGAAGGGGAAAATTCTTAAACATGATTTTTTTTGCCCAGTTTATTAATTAAATTTTGAAAGTTTACTATTTGAATTAAATAGGAAAAATAAAGACAAAGTAAACTCTTAAGAATACTCAAGCTGTTTTTGGATTTAAATCATATTTTCATACGAAAAGCTCAACTGTGTACATGATCGCATCTTCATGTGGAAGGCTCACCTCGCCCTCTAGGTGCCCCCCAGAAGGAGCCTGTGGGAGGGACGCAGCCGAGCCAGTCCCACACACGTTCTGAGCTGGTCTCTCTTCCCACTTTACTATAACAGAAGGCGATGGGAGGGGGGGGTGCGGGGTGAAGGAGAAAGGAAGAGAACAGTGGAAGTTCTAAGGAGGATGGAATTAAAGGCTCTCAGAAGACGTATAAGTAGAAGGAACTGTACCTTGTGAACAATCATCCTCACTGGGAAACCCTGATGGCGTTCCTGAACCCACCAGCCTCTCTCTCTCTCTCTCTCTCTCTGTAGAGTGTAAAGCGGGAACTACTAGAGAGAAACAGAAATCAATGAAATACTTAAAAGCAGTGTAAGGAGGAGAAAACTGGCTGATCTAGACATTCAGTGTGGACTGTGTTCTGTTCATACCAGCACATGCTTGCACAGCACCCCACTTCCATTTGATTCTTTAGTAACTTGGCGGGAAAAGGTAGGTGCAGCCTGGAGCCCACACGAGCTCAGGGACCGTCAGCCACAGGCTGCAGTCTGGCCGCTGAATCCAGTTCTGATGTAAAGTAATTCAGGCTTCAAAAGAAGTCAAAAACCGATGGTGTTTTCAAATGTTACTGTAAGGACTATAATATTGGCCATAACACTTCTGACAACTGAGGAATCTGGCATTTTGTGTAGTATGAGAAAAGGCTACAAACCTCAAGATGGTTTTATTTAAGCCAAAAAGAAAGAAAAAGTCTGAGCAAGACACATATTTACAATTTATTAAAAACACATTAAAATCTATTTATACAATCTAAATTCTAGCCACATATACAGATACCAAGTGACTACAGTACGTGCCGAGGTAAGAAAAGTACATTCTGGGAGCCTCTCGCGCCACTCGCACTGTTTTCATTTCCAACACGTGTTGCAATACAGGTTTGTTTTCACCTTTCCCAGTGCCAAAAAAGGAGGAGGAGGAGATGAAGAAGAAACTAGGCACAAGTTGGATTAAACGAGAAGTGGTGCCACAGGTGACCTAAAAAGTGTTTTAATAACCATCCAACTCTTCGTTAGATTTTGCAGTTCAGGGACTTCAAGCTCAGAACGAAAGACAGACCTAACAGGTAATTTTTTTAGGTAGAGCTTCCTGGATTTCTCTCAAGAGGGTTTAAAAAGCTTTCACTGTCCCACATAATCTGCTGGTTCTTTCTAACTGTATCATCGGACATGGTGTTTCAGCAGCCCTCTTGCTCTCCAACTGACAGTGAAGTTCAAGCTTTATCACTTTCCAGGGAATTACGGCCATGTTCGTATTTAGATGAGCTCATTTTCTGCTCCCTCCTTAGGGGGAGGGCAAGTGTATACACAACGTTGTAATTTCAGTTACTGTATAAATTCTCTACTCGAACCGTTTCATCAGCGAATAAACCCACTGTTCAATGCAAAGTGCAAATAGTGAAACAGGAACTTAAATAATTGGACTAGACCCTGCACATACACTAGGATCTATTTAGATTTATAGCTGTTAATAAAATATAAATCAGCATTCACAATATCTTATCTTAAACTGTGCTAGTTCCTAAGATCAAGTAACAGCGAAGTCAGTGTGATTTTATGCAACCTGTAAGGGCCACATTTGCTGCACTGCTGTCTATTTTTATAATTAACAGGAAAATTTAATCCAATAAACCACAGTGACTTAAGTCTTTTACATGTTTCAAAGTATAAAAATTCAAAGGAATTTTGTAAAAAATGGTTACTTTCACATTTTCAGTTGTTACTTGATTGTCTCCAAAGCTGTACATGTATCAGACATATAAACGTAGTAAAAAACCCCAGAACTCTACTATGAAAACAAATGGACTAAAAGAAAAAGTACAAAACAAGAACAACCCTTTCTATCAGGCTCAGCTCTTCACTTGGAAAGTAAAATACATAAAAGTAGTAAAAACTAGGTTTTGTAAAAATCATTGGTAGTTTAAGGACAGCACAGTGGCAAGCTGAATCAAGTCTTAAAACATGCATCATTCTTAAGAAAACACTGGCCTCTCAAACAGTTTGCTGGGAAAAACAATCAGGTGCACACAATTACACAACTAGAGCAAACATCTTTGGGAAAATGAAGTAGCTACTGAAATCATCTCTCTTAAAGCTTCAAACAGGCACATGATTTGAGGGAAAGCATATTTTCTGTGTGCTAAGGGTGAATAAAAAAATAAAGCAACTGGTTTACTCTCTTCCCACTGGAAAGGGGATGACTACATTAATACATGTGCTTACACGCTCATATATGTTTTATTACAAGTTCAACATCTGTCCCTCTTGTTTCAAGTATTTTGAAACAAAATAGGTATTGGTTTTTCAGAATAAAATTATGCCTCAAAGTTGGTTGGGAGAAGAAAAGCAAATGAAAATAAGACCAAAATCATACAAGCAGAAGGCAGGGAGGCTGCAGAAATAAACAGTTATAACACTCACGGAAGCAAGCAGAATGAACACCATGCATCTTTAGTCAAGTGTAGCGAATTCTGGCAACGACAATCTGGTGGCACAGGCCAAAAGAAAAGAACTAGGACCTGATGGCAGAGCACATTTCAACATCAAGTCTACAGACCAAGGTTTACAGAAGAAGGCATTTATACGTTTTAATCGTATGGTCAGCTTCTCATACCATCTCGCCAGTTTAAAGATGTTTTAAGATGGCTTTCACACTACAGGCTAGTAAACTGCAGACGGTTTCTATTCCACCCATCTAGCCTGAGTTCTGGGCAAGCCCAGCGGAGGCTCCACCCACCAGCTGTGGTCTAGGTGAGAAAGAAAGAATGACACCTGCCTCCACCACCCGGACCCCTCATGCGCAGCTGAGGAACACAGGCTGCATTTCTATTTCTTGTAACAGTTTACCGTGGAAAACTGAAATTAAAAAATATTTTTTAATGTGACTAAAATTAATCAAGTACCTTGAGATTCAAAGAAAAATCTATCTATGAAACCAAAGAGGGTAAATTCTGGTTACTTGTTTTCAGGGTGATTTATATGACTTCTGAGGAACGATTTTGCCTTTCACTGTAATAAACAGGAGCGGGTCTTGTTTATGGTGTTCACCTAGAACCCCCGACTTTTCACAACTCTCCTCGGAAACATCCCAGTGCAGATAAAGTTGGGGGAGGGAGAGAACCTCCCCCAGAGCTTTCTAAACTGAAGTGGTTCCCGTTTCCACACAGAGAAGTACTTAAAGACAGGAGGAGACCTGAATTCACGAGGTTGATAAAGCAAATACTACCCACTGAGAAAACAACGTTTTATAAACACAAGCATGGGCCCCACGCGGGACAAGCACAGATGAGACCAGTCCTGTACCATGAGTGCTAAAGCTCTTAAGAGTGTCAAAAAGTGAAAAATCAATCACTGCTCATTGCAAGCCAGAATTCTCAGCGATAGGTCCTCCTAAGGGAAAATGGCTATGTGTAGGATGGCAGTCAAAACAATGATTGTATCACTAAGTATTAAAAAAAAAAAATCCAGGGATAGAAGAGGAAATCATGGTAGTACCTACCTTTCACAAACAGAGCAGAGCTTCAAGCCATCAGACATTTCGAGAACAGTACCATGCATTACTGCCAGTCAGACTTAGAGCTGTCTCGAGTTCATTAATGTACCTGCAGCACTGGTAATAAATACTCTCAGTGATTTCAATTTCTTTGAAGTGCATAGTAGGAAGCTTTTTCTGTATTAAAAATAGTGTTTTACAGTAGTAGTAAACAGGATGTTCAAAATTTAACAGGCAAGCAGTACTGCCACAATAACGCTTTTAAAGCAAGATGGCAAGATTAGTAGTTTCCTGTACCTCGGTCATCACATTTCCCCAACACATCTGTGACAGACACGTAACACGTTCTACACGTTACTACCACTAACGCAAGAAAGGCCCTGTGCTTTAAAACAACGCTTTGTAAAATGCAGCATCGTGTTCAAAGGATTTCTTTAAAAACATCGCCTTCGCCACCCCTCCCTGCTCCTGCCCCCTCCTGCGTGCTCTGTGGCACCTGGTACACCAACTCGTCTGCGGCACGCGGACCCGGCGGCCCGGCCTTTGGGGTGTCATACTGGGCCCGGGCTGAGGAGCAGCTGTCAGTCCTGCAGAGAAGAGTGTTGTACGTCCCCACTCCGGGGGGAGCCTGGTTCCCCGCAGCTTTGAAAGTGGACGTGGAGGGCAGGGTGACCGCAGCTGTGGGGTGCCCCGACATATCCACAACGATGGGGGTGGCATACTCAGGCCCCGTGACTGGAAGCGGTTCTGCGTAGGCATGATAAACTTCCTGCACCGGGGCATTGTAAGGATCGAGGTCTGCGTAGCCTGCTTCCTTCCGTTCTTCTGGTTTAAAGGTGGACCTCTGATGAAGGGCACCCACAATCCCTCCCACAAGCGGCTGCGCATACTCTGTGGATATCGCAAAACACACACAACAGGACAGGATCGGTCAACACAGGGGTCGTGCCGCTGAGGGCGGCAGCCGCAGCCTACAGCAAGACAAAGGCTTCTTCAGAGCACTGTGTCGTGGGCGACACAGAAGCATGCATTTCCCTGCAGGAACCAACTTCGCAAATTAAAATTGAAGATGTCAGCTTGTGTCTCACACTCATAAGTTAATATGCCAGAAAGCCTCATTCAGGCAATTCTGCAGAAACAGTGTTGGTGTATGTTCTTCAGATTTATAGATACTATTTCATTGGAAAAGAAATATTCCATTATTGGAACAATATGTGTCTTGGAAAATAACTTTATACATTTTTTTTTAAGTATTAGGAAATATTTAAAATAAATAAGTACTAGGTTAACAGGATAAACACTGCAAGGCTCCGCTCTTTCCTGCTCTTCTTTTAATACTCCCAAGCCCCCCCGCAAAAATAAAATGCCCCGAGGTTTACGGCCAGAACCTCTAAGACCCAGAAATGACTCTCTCAAGGTCTTTTAACAAGTGGTTCTACCTTTTGAAAAGAGCTCATCTCCTACACGTGAGAAAAACAAAAGCTACTGAAGACCCCACCGCGCCCAGCGAAGCCCGTGTGGCGCTCACCTGCAGAGTCGGCCTGCAGCGCTGTGGGGACCTCCCTGGGGCTCAGGTGGGCCACCTCGCTGCTGCTGTAGTGCACCGGGGTCTCCTCCGGCTCCAGCGCCTTGGCGGGGAGAAACTGCTTCATTCCCTTCCACCAGCCTGCAGTGGGACGGGGGCAAGAGACCGGTCAGCACAAGCGACGCCGGCACTGCTAACGGGGTTAAGGGAGAAATCCTGTTGCATTTAAGCTATTTCTATAACAAATTTCTATACAAATTAGCCTTTATGTTCAAGCTTTGCCTTTTTCTTATTGTGGTAAAATACACGTACAACTTACCATCTTAACCATTTTTAAGTGTACACATCAGTGGTATTAAGCACATTCACACTGCTGTGCAGGCACCACCGTCCGTCTCCAGAACTCTTTTCATCTTGCAAAACTGAAACCCTGTCCCCATTAAACTACAACTCCCCATTCCCCCCGCCCCCAGCCCCTGGCAGCCACCATTCTACTCTCTGTCTCTATGGATTTGACTCCTCCAGGTTCCTCATGTAAGTGAAATCATACAGTATTTGTCTTTTTGTGACTGACTTCTTTCATTTAGTATGACGTCCTCAAGGTCCATCCATGTTGCAGCATATTGCAGAATTTCCTTCCTTTTTAAGGCTGAATAATATTCCACTGAATGTATATGCCACATTTTGCTTATCTATTTATCAGTTGATGGACACGAGTTGCTTCCATGTTTTATCTACTGTGAATAATGCTGCCATGAACATGGGTGTACAAATCTTTTAGAGACCCTGCTTTCAATTCTTTTGGGTATATACCCAGAAGGAGAATTGCTGGATTGTATGGTGGCTCTATGTTTAGTTTTCTGAGGAACTGCCATACTGTTTTCCACAACAGTTGTACCATTTTACATTCCCACCAAAAGCGCACGAGGGTTGCAATTTCCTCACGTCACTGACAACATTTGTTTTCTGTTCCTTTGATATGAGCCATCCTAATGGGTGTGAGGTGATATCTCACTGTAGTTTTGACTTGCATTTCCCTCAAGATTAGTGATGTTGAGCATTTTTTCACATGCTTATTGGCCATTTGTGTATCTTCTTCAGAGAAATGTCTATTCAATTGGGTTTTTTTTGTTGAGTTTTTTAAGAAGTTCTCTACATATTTTGGATATTAATCCCTTATCAGATATGTGATTTTCAAGTATTTTCTCCCATTCCATGGGTTGCTTTTTCACTCTCTGGATAATGCCTTTTGATGCACAAATTTTTAAATTTTCATGAAGTCCAATTTGTTCTTTCTTTTATTATCTGTGCATTTGGTGTCATATCCAAGAAATCACTGCCAAATCCAACATCACGAAGCTGCTGTCCTATGTTTTCTTCTAAGAGTTTTATTGTTTTAGGTCTTACATCTTGGTCCTTGATCCATTTTGACTTAATTTTTGAATGTGGTGTTAGGTAAGGGTCCAACTTCATTCTTTTGCATGTGTTTTCCCAGCACTGTTTCTTGAAATGTCTTTTTCCCAATGAATGGTCTTGACACCCTTGTCAAGAATCATTTGGTCATATTTCTGAGGGTTTATTTCTGGGCTTTCTATTCTATGCCATTGGTCTATATGTCTGTCTATGCCACCATCACACTGTTTTGATTACTGTAGCTTTGTAGTAAGTTTTGAAATCAGGGAGTGTGAGTCTTCCAATTTTGTTCTTTTTCAAGATTGTTTTGGCTATTCAGGGTCCCTTGAAATTCCATATGATTTTTAGGATGGTTTTTCTATTTCTGCAAAAACTGTCTTTGGGCTTTTGACAGGGATTGCACTGAATCTGTAGACCGCTTTGGGTGGCGCTGCCATTAACAACATTAGGTCTTCCAATCCATGAATGTGGGATGTGTTTCCATTAGTTTATGTCTCCTTTAATTTCTTTCAACAGCATTTTGTAGTTTTCATTGTACAAGTTGTTCACCTCCTTGGTTGAATTAATTTCTAAATATTTTCTTTTTGACGCTATTGTAAATAGGATTGTTCTTATAACCTCCTTTTGAGATTGCCTGTTGTTTGTGTATAGAAATGCAAATGATTTTTGTATTTTGACTCTGCATCCTGCTACTTTGCTGAATTCATTTATTCTAACAGTGTTTTTGTGGAGTCTTTTAAGTAAATGTTTGATAGAACTTACCAGAGAAGCCAGCAGGTCCAGGACTTTTCTTTGTTGGGAGATTTTTGATTCCTGAGTCAATCTCCTCACTAGTTAGAGGTCTGTTCAGATTTTCTATTTCTTTCTTTCTTTCTTTTTTTAAAGATTGGCACCTAAGCTAACAACTGTTGCCAATCTTCTTTTTTTTCTTCTTCTTCTCCTTCTCCCCAAAGCCCCCCAGAACACTGTATATTCTAGTTGTGAGTGTCTCTGGTTATGCTATGTGGGACGCCGCCTTAGCGTGGCCTGATGAATAGTGCCATGTCCACACCCAGGGTCCAAACCAGCAAAACCCTGGGCCACCGAAGTGGAGCGCATGAACTTAATCACTTGGCCATAGGGCCAGTCCCATATTTTCTATTTCTTTGTGATTGAGTCTTGGTAGATTTTGCATTTCTAGGAATTTATCCAAATTTATCTAATTTATCCAATTTCATCTAGGTTATCCATTTTTTTTAGCATATAATTGTTTACAGTACTCTTATAATCCTTTTTATTTCTGTAGAATCAGTAGTAATATCCTCATACTTTCATTTCTGATTTTGGTAACGTGAGCCTTCTCTTTTTCTCTGTCCATCTAGCTAAAGGTCTGTCTTTTTTTATCTTTTTGAAGAACCAACTTTTGGTTTCATTAATTTTCCTTATTCTTCTCTTCTTGATTTCCTTTCTCTCTTCTCTCATCCTTACTGTTTCCATCCTCCTGGTGGCACTGGGTTTAGTTTGCTCTTCTTCTTCTAGTTCCTGAAGTTGTTCAAGCTCATTTTTTGCTTTGCTAGAACAGCCAGTGCAAAGTGGAACGTGGTAGAAATCTCTATCAAAAGCACACACACAGCAAATCTGCTATTATAGAGCAGCCAGATACAGTCTGTCTGTTGTAGTGGTGGTTTTCAATATGTTTTTCTCAAAAGATACTTCCCAAGATCCCCTGGGGAGCCAGCAGCGTGTGATCCGCCCCCACCACTGCTCTCTTCTATCAGTCACCGCAGTGAACCCTCTCGGCTCCTAACAGTCATTCCAGTAGCGAGACTGGGAAGTGGGAGACCCTGAGGGGGCCTGTGGTGCCACCTGCCCCAGAGAGCAGGACTGCAGAAGATGGCCACTCATCATGGCAGACCTCCGTGACTCCTGAACTGCTCGACCCCAAGTGGTAAAAACCCACGCAGAGGAACGTGCACAGTGTCATCAAGACGGCAATCCTTGCCTCTCACGGTGTTCACATGGGCCACACAGGAAGCTAGCTGGTCTCCTCAAGATAAACAGATACACGAGACAAGCCAGACAAGGGCTCCAGAGGAAAAAGCACAGAGCAAGCGTTAGGAGAAGTTCTAACTTTCCATCCTTTACTGACTGACTAGGAGAGATTTTACAGAAAAGTAAGAATGATTAGAAAAGAAGAGGAAACCATTTCTCCGACAGTGCTGGGGAATGTACGTGGCCTGGAAATGACTTTCCTTTCACTACTGCCACCTGCAGGGGAGGGACTTCCCGCTGATGCAAAGAGATGCAAAGCCAAGAGCTACCTGCCCGGTCCCAGGAAGGTAAACCATAGGTGCCTTCGGTTTTCTTCTTTCTGGAAAAATACAGAAAAAAAAGTTAGCCAATAGAGTGAATTCATAGTAAGGAAGCCGTGGGATTGCAGGATAAACCCCACAGTTAATGATTCGTCAGCAGTCCACACGACCACGCGCTGAGCCACCCGGGGGGTCCTCCACTTCACTTGACTTTCAAGCCACTGCCGAGGCTCGTAAATTCTGGACTCTCGATAAACATTCAACTGTTTCCTGAGACAGTCACCTTGTTACCCAACTATTTCCCACTCAGAGGCATAAAGGAATAAAAAAGGATAAGTGTAGATAAAAAGACCCAAGCAGATCAAAGACCCAGCCCTGACATGTGGGATATCACAGGGAAATCGTGTCAGGTCTGTTTTGGTTTCAAATACAAATTTCTCAAATCAGTTGACACACAAAGTTCGTAGAACAAAAAAAAACCCACATTTTTTTCTGAGTTATTTTTTCCAACTTGCTGCTTTTCTTCTACGGTCCTCTGCCCCAGAGAAGTTTAAAGAGTCACGTACACTTAATTGCACGGACTTAATTCCTCCAACCACATAGGATAAGTCAACACTGGCACTGACAGTGACAGGTGGTGCAGGGAGAAGAGGACGCCCGGGCCCGGGAGGCGAGAGCCAGCGTGCAGTGAGGGAGCCCCTCCCCAGGGCCCTCCCTCCTCCAGGAAGAATTACCACCTGCCAAGAGCCCGTTACAAAGAGGAAAACAAGCACGTGAAAGGGCATTTTCTGAGTCAGGGATGTAAATTAATTAAAATTAATGTTTCGCAAGCTAAAAACAAAGCAGGTTCTATGTATAAATGAGGACAGGACGGTTATGTGGTTTGCTCAAGACCATGAATGTCACTTTCTCAAAGAGCCCAGGGTATGTCTTTTCCTCCTTGGAAACACTCTTCTCCAGCATAAGACTATGTTTTTGTTATTGATATTAAAAGCTTCCTCATTTTAAAGTTTGACTGTACTGAAGATACAACATCTCTTTATTTCAAAGTAAATTATAATGTAAAATTTGTGGAAGAGATGGACGGGCTGGGGCTGTTCATCAAAACTGGAATGGAAAAGAAATAATATGATGCTAGTTTATTAATTAAGCACTTTTCTCCCCCCAAATCCTCTAATCATAACAGTTAAAAATGAAAGGAAATCAGTCATCTTTTCTAAATGGCAGATAGATGCTCTATGTGGCTAAGACAACAAATTTAATGGCCTGAGTATTGGCGAGGGGTTGTACCATCAAGGATTTTATATTCTGACCCTCCGGTGACAGAGGTCAGGTCACTGGCCCCCTGCGTGTGAAGTGCTGGGAGCAGCTGGCATGGGTTCAGGATCAGTAAGCTGCAGCTGTTTGTATTAGGATTCTTCTCTCTCAGCCACTTCCACAGCCCCTGTTTGTATTAGGATTTTTCTCTCTCAGCTACTTCCACAGCCCCTGGCTGGCCTCTCCTCCTCCACGCCTCGTGACAGAGCCAGCTGGCAGCAGTTGCACGGGCGTCCTGAGAAGGCCCTTCAGTTCTGCGGCTCAGACCTTCTGTCCTGAAAGGCGTATATTCCACCTGCCTCGTGGGGTCTGAGCTTCCACAGGCCCCTTAAACAAGCCTCCCCCAACCCTGCCCCCGACCTCAGGCCGCAGCTCTCCTCCCGTGTCCTCCCCTCGGCCTGTGCTGTTCCCAGCGGGGCTCAGACCCGAGGACTGACTGTCCGACCGCAGGCTCAGGCGGGCAGCGGTAACAGCACGGCTCGAAGCCCCCTCTGCCGGTCCTGGCTGGTGACCTGGGGCAAGGGATTGATGCTGTCTCACCTTCTTCTGTAAAATGGGATTTACAGCAATACCTGCTTCAGAGGCTGTTGTGAGGATTAATTGAGCTAAAACATGTGAAGAATTCAGAATAATGCCTAAAATCAGCACTTAATTTTCTAGAAAAATTAGTTGTTGCTGTGCTCTCCTCGTCACCTGCTGCTGTCCAGCGCCCCGAGAGCCTGCTGGCCGCCCCTCCCCGGACCGTCCGACAGCCCCGAGCCCCTTTCCCCACCGCCCTCGTGCTGACTTGCGGGTCCCGCTCCGCCCGCGGCGCCCACCCGAGTGCAGGACCGCGCTCCTCGGCCTCCTCAGCCCCCGGGGCGCGTGCCGTGTGGGCGGGGCCAGGCAAGACACCCCTCGCCTTCCCTAAACCTGGGGGCTCCACACTCGGCACAGGGGGGAGCGCAGATATCTGCTGAATGGCTCCACAAACCGCCATTCTCCCGCACTAGCCTGTCCCTCCTGTTCTGCTGTCTCGACTCATGACACGCTGCTGGTCTCGTGCACACGCCCGAAACTCCAGGCCATCCTAGGTGCCCCTCCTCCCCGAGCGGCCAGCGCCCCCTCCTGGCGTCCCTGCCACGTGCCTGCACGGCCTCAGCGCCTCCTCACTCACCTCGGGACTCTCGGTCGCTCCTCTTCAGTCCACCCTCCAGAAGCGCCGCCATCTATCCGCAGCACTGACCACCACCACTCCTCAACGGCCTCCCCACCCGCAGCACGAGATCGAACCCCCTCCCCCAGGAAGCCGTCCTGGCCCCGCACCCCTGTGCTTCCCCCGAGCAACCCCTCAGTCTGGGCCATTCTCTTCCTTCCCCTCTCTGCCAAATCCAACTCCTTCTTTAAGGCAAAACATGTCAAACTTGAGGATCACTCTCTCCCGAAGAACAGATTTTGGGTCACTCTCGTGGCTCTCACGTCTGTTTCCCAGCACTGCATAATAACTCATCTGGCCATACTAGAGTTTCTTATTTTGTGTCAGTCAACCCTGCTAAACACAATAGGCGTTGTGTCTCATTCTTCCAGTAAATGTTACTGAGCACCTATTATATGTCTTATTAAGGTATACATCCTAGTGTGTAATGCAGAATTTGATATGCTAAAGATGCTCAGTAACTGACTGTGGAATTAACTTACTCATCTTTTATGGAAACGAAGAAGAAACCTGTGCTTTTTGGGGGTTTTTTTGCTGAGGAAGATTGTCGCTGAGCTAACATCTGTGCCAGTCTTCCTCTACTTTGTATGTGGGTTGCCACAAGAGCATGGCCACTGACGAGTGGTGTAGGTCTGTGCCTGGGAACCGAACCCAGGCCACTGAATTAGAGCGTGCCCAACTTAACCACTAGGCCCGGGGGCTAGCTTCCAAAACCTGTGCTTTTTTATTCTAATGACTATCTTAACTTTCCATCACAAAGAGACGAATCATAGTTTATCTTCTATATTTAGTTTCTGCTTCACATTTGGAAACATCCCCTCTGGGATCAATCAGGAGAACTAGTCGTGGACTCACCTGTTCCTCCAATGCCAGGCACACACTAAAATGAGGATGAGCGTGGTGAGAACCATGACCAACACTGGGACAAGGACTGCGGCCAAGGCGACATCTGAAATTTAAAGAAAAAAGAACATTAATACCAAAGGCAGAAATCATGAAGGAAAAGAATGAACATTAACCATATCATCACTTCTATCTCAAAAAATACTATAAACATTTATGAAATGGACTGGGCATGAGCTGGCACCTGCAGAAGCTATCACAGACACATGGAAGTTGTCACACTATGTGCTCCACCCTTGTATATTTTTGAATCACCAGAACAAACTGAAAGACAGATGATAAACTGGGAAAATATTTTCTGCATCTGTGATAAAGGGTTAATATAATTAACATATTACAGAATTTATAAGTCAAGAACAAACAAAAGAAAAGTCAGCAGAGATGAATGAAACACCTTCTATTACGTTAAAAACACAAGTGCCCATTAAATATGTTCACCTCACTACTAATCAGAGAAACAGAAATTAAAACAAGAGGCTGTTTTTACTTATCAAATTGGCAGATATTTAAAAGAACAACTAATTCTTGAAGAGGATATCAGGAAACAGGTATTTTCATGAGAATATAAATTGATATCTTTCTGTTTAGCCTTTGGGGGCAATATGTATAAAAACATATTAATTGGCAGTTCCATATGTAGAATTTATTCTTAGGAAAAAATCAAGATGACATTTAAAGATGTTTACTTCTGTATCTGCAGAAGAGTTAAAAACTAGAAATAATCCAAATGCCCAACAATGAAAGAGAATGAGTAAAATCATGGTATCCTCCTTCCAGTAAAATATCATCCAGCAACCGGAAGTGATGTTGCAAAATGATGGCAAAATATTTATAGATATGGGAAAGTAACAATGTAGTGTTAGGTACAGAAAGCTGACTGCAAATGTGACTGAAGAGGGCAGAAAGTAACGCAATGCTGGAGCCCCAGGGGCATGCAGATCACTGAATCCCCCGCTGAATCCCACCATGCCACAGATAAGGAATCCTGGGCCCAGATGCAGAAAATGCTCTGCTTAAGGTCATTTGCGACATCAGTTTCTTTCTTCACCTGTCAACCCCTCTTCTTGGCTCTGAGGATGCTGCCATGAGCATCTGCTGCTATCTACCACAGGCTCAGCGCCAGACCCTGCGATGGCCTGACACAGCATCTCACTGCCTCCTGATAATCATACCCAAAGGAGGGGAAGAGAATGTGCAGGAGAGGAGAAGGATGGTCAATGACATGCAGCCTCTGAGAAGCTGGATGGATGGAAGGAGGGCACAAGTGTGTCTGTAGGCTCCACAACATGGGAATTTCCTTTGAATGGCTTCTACTTTCTGTGTGAGGTTGAAGATGTAACTGAGAGTGAGTGAAGATCTCTGGGTCAAGGGTTTGAAACACAGCGAAAGTTTCCAATAGCTACTGCTGAGAACAGACAGAAGAGCTAACCAGGGGAACAGAAAGCGGCTGGCCAGTGCTGAGGGCCCCGCTGAAGGAGGATCTGGAAGTTACAGGGGCACAAACCTGACCAGCACTTGATGCTCTCCAGCAGCCCTTTCAGCCTGGATATAAAAATGGAGAAGGGAGAAGTGCATAAAACAGAAATCGTGACTCAGGCTAGAAAGCACTAAGAATTTAGAGAAGTAAAGTGTGCTTAATCCCTAAGATCTGTGAAACTGGAGAGACAATCAGGTTCAGATGGATACAGTTTGATTTAATCAGAGGCATGAAAACATCTGTTTAGGTTCAAAAAGTAAGGAAAGCATACACACCGCCATCCCAGAGGAAAGGAGCCAGGGGTCTTCACTGAGACCTGCACACTCCCTGTGACTCTTTCTAAGCTTACAGGGATCCTCGCTCTGGAGAAGATGCTGTACGGACACCTTCAGTCTTGACACTGAGATTCTACGATCGGATTTTAAGATGAGCACGAGTTTTAAATGACTACTCTTTCTTCCAGGCATCTGGCCTGGGATCCTGCCCAAGGACACGGCCTCTGCAGCCCGGGGAGAGCTCCCTGCCGGGCCTGAGGTCTCCCGCCCCCACGCAGCCTTCTTCTCTCCAGCTTTCCCGGAAGCAGGAGAAAGAAACCGGGCCGTCTGGAAATGCTTTAGACGCGGGGAAGAAACCAACGTGGGAAGTTGGAGGAAGTTATCTGCTCCCAGGCAGATTTTCAGAAAATGAGAAAGACGACAGTTTCTGTGGCACCAGGCTCTCTAATGAAGTGCTTTCTCTTCTCTGCACTGTCCTGAACATTAGTGGGATTTTCTATCTGCCAACACTGAAAGTAGTTCCTCTATGACACTGAGGCTTTTTTCCTGAATTCAACTGAAATGTTGTTTTTTAACAACTAGTAAAATCAAAGGTACTACTATGTTTTGTACATGTTAACATCTTACTTATCATTAACAAAATCTGAAAGTACATTCTAATACAATTATATTTATAATCTGAAGAAAAATTGGAAACAATTTAAAAAGAGACTGAAGTATTTTTATGAACATATTATTTTTTAAAAAGTATTAGTTTTCACCAAAACTTCTGTTTCTTTTCCTAATCCCTTTGTGCTACCAAGTTCTGTAACCAGCAAATTAATATGTAATCAGAAAAAAAGTTTGTTTCCTGTTATGGTTTTAGTTATTTCTAGAAATATTTCTAAGCCTGAGACTCCACGTGTTTAGCTGTATAGGGAGAAAAATTGCAAGAGGAGGCGGAGAGCAGAGCACCCGTCTCCGAATATCTAAAGGCCTAGTCCCCACGGCCCCAAAGAACAGAACTGAGACAAGGCAGCCAGTTTTTCCCCAAGGAAGGAAATCAAATTTTTTGCTATTCTTCAAAAAAACAGAGTTACAGGAAAAGAAACTAAAGGTTTAAAGGCTGGAAATGTTCCTGAAAACTTAAGTTAAAGATAAAATAAAACTCTGCCGCGTGCCAGGTGGCGTTCCTGGGTTTGCAGACCTTTGGTCCCGTGCGGGGTCACGGTGGTGTTCCTGATGTCAGGCGTGGCGGTCGTCTGCTCTGTCTGTGCAGGGAATTCGTGGCTGCTGCGAGGCTGTAGCGGCTGAGTGAATTTGGGGGCACGACCTTGAAAAAAGTTTTAAAAACTCTTTATTCTTTTATCTACACCAACTTGATGAAGATAAAGTTATTTTATAATGCTTTTATGTGTTTATGGAAAGTTATACCACAAATCCAGGGAGCGTCATGCTGCCCCGGTGGGGGCAGGCATACCTTTGGCTACCTTTGGAGGGGCTGTAGTGCTTTTGAGGTCGTTGCTGTTCCAAGGAGGTGGAGGCTGAGTGAATTTGGGAGGACGACCTTAAAAAATGGTTTAGAGAAGTTTACACATTTTGCTTATAAAAATCATAGTTAAAAATAGTAACTTTACATGTCTTTAACGCTTCCTAGAATACTTAATTCTGCATTGTAGTTTTGAATCTCAGACAGAAATATGTCAGAAGAATAAATATGCTCTGCATTAAATGGACAAATATACTGAGATTTCTGAATTTTTAAATAACTAAATTGTCTAAAAATACTCTTCTTAGGAAGGAGAATGGGGAGGCTGATGATGCTGACTCTGAAGCTAGAGAAGTGTCATCACAATTGGATACACTACTGGTTCGATTCATCTAATAACGTTTACGGAGGGCCCATATGTGCCAGGCGCTACAGTAGCTCCTGGGGAGACAACGGTAAACAAAGTGCTGAAATATTATATATAAGATGGAAGGAAGTTCTTCCCACTTTTAATTTACTCCCAGGAAAGGCACCTAGACTGAGGTTACTGTTCCAGTCATCGGCGCTCCCGTGACACAAGCACGACGCGACACGAGAGCTGGGAGGAACTAAGACGGGGACTGGATCTGGAAAGCAGGCTCAGGGAGCTGCTATCAGCGATGCTCTCTTCAGCAGCAATTTGGAACTCATTTTGATGTCTAACTTTTTAACAGGATAACTATTTCTTTTGAAAATCCCTTCAAGAAGATACTGTAATTAGAGGTTAAACACACATTATTACAAACAACTCTCTCTGAGAACAGTCATTTTTAATTAATTCACTGAAAACGACATAGCCAATGTGCTGTTGCTTTACCTTTAGGAATAAACTGACATCCAAGGAGCTCCATTTTCATGGCAATTTTCTGCTGCCACTGGGTAGGATTCACTCTGATAAAACGTGCAATAATTGGTGGCAAAAAGTTATTACGCACATCCTGGTGATAATCTTTGTTTCCTTGAAATATCTTTAAAAAACAACAAAAAATCGGTACTTTACATCAGCAGAGGTCAGGGCTACGCTGCTCCACTGAATCATGACTTGTGTTTGGCTTTGGGCTTTAAATGAGACCTGCAAAGTATGACCATGAGGAGAACTTTCTAAGAGGGTAAATGAATCATAATTTGGAAAAGCGACTAAGAAGCTGCACATCCTTCATCAAAAATATGCAAAGGAAAATACTGAATATGAAAAGGACTTTCAGCTGATTTGAACACGACCAGAGTGCTAAGGTGGCGATTTGGGAAGACGGTGTCGACTGCACTGAGACAGTGTATGGCATTAAAACTTAGTAACTCTGGTGCTGGGGCACACCAAGTATTTAAATATATTAGTTTTATTTCACAGTAAAGCATGATTGAACATCTGAGGCCTCAGAGGAAATGCTTTACTGTGCACTTTTCATAACTTGACTCTCATAAACAAAGAGAACATACACTAACAAACTCCTAACAGACACAGACCCCCACCTACTGGAGAAACTACATAAACGCAGTTCCCACAGCATCCGTTTTCATTTTTTGTTGCTATTTCAACCAGAAAAGTGACACTGTTCCCTGCCTAATATACTGATTGTAGCTGAACAGCAAGAAATGAATTACATGAATAATCCTTAGGTAAAAATATGATTTCAAGTGACTATCTCATTCCCTCGACTATTTCAAGCAAATGAGGATAGTACCTTACACTGCAGCAGCTCAGTTATTTACAAAGCATTTTCATATGATTACCTCAGATGCTCTTCATGACAACCCCAGGAAACAGGCAGAACCCAGCATACTGCAGCTTGAGGGATGTAAGCGGACCACACAGCCGGTCGTGACGGGGCCCTGACTGGAACCATGTCTGCTGACTTAAGTACAGGGCTCCACTAGGCAAAAAAGAGACCTCCTCATTCCTTTGGCCAAATCACCAAGGTCGTTTCTAATGACCATTAATGAGAAGACAGCTGCCTCAAGTCAAAGGGGCTTGCTTTTTCTCAGTTAACTGAGAGCAAGTAAATGCCTAACTCCTCAAATCAAGTCATTTCCCAATATTATAGCTATTTTCCTCCTGGCTAATTCACATGGCATTAGATTATAAACTTCTGAGATGTGTTAATATCCCTCATTTTCTAAGAGTTTTGAAGTTACCTTAACCTCCAAACTAGTAAGCTTCCACCATTTCCTCAGATATTACTCTGAAATAAAATGAAGGCAATTATTTGCCATCTATTATATTACTGGAACAGGAACAATAACTGAACATCATTTGAGGACATAAAACCTTTCCCTGAGACCTTACTCCATATTGCAGTCTCATTTTTATAAAGAATGCAAACGAGAAAGATTTCAGAAAAACCAAGTAAAAAAGACTTGTTATATTTAACCTGTTAGTATTTATTATGAACCCCCGCATTTAGGGAGGTCTGCACATGTCATGAGGGTAAAATGGAAGACAAAGTTCCCACTCTCAAGGAACCTAAATTTTTGGGTAATACCTCCACAAATATGGCATACCATTAAAAAGCAATATATCATGAAAACAAGTTGTACATACATTCCCACTTTCTGAAAACAAAAATGAAGCCTGTCTCGGCCTGTGCGTATGTGCTCATGCACGTGTGCAGGCTGGAAAGGGCATGAGATGAATACACCCACTACCCCTGTGCTGGGGGCAGAGCAGGGAGCAGATGGGCTGACATGAGGCAAAAGATTGTTATTTCATGTAATTCAGTGGAAGGACTTCTGCTTCAATCCATGATAGACTAGGAAGGACTAGATTTACCCTTCTCCTTAAACACTGAAAACTCGAGTAAAATGTGTGAACCAATGGTTTGCAGACACTGGACAACAGGCAGCACAGGACAATAATCCCTGTGAGAGGGAAGCAAATAAGGCGAGCCTTTCTGGTGCCCCAGTACTGGCTGAAGAGCGCCCGTGGTCTCACTGAATTGAGGAGACAGAGCTCAGAGACTGAGAGGCTAAGGCAGCTAGAATTCACAGGGCAGAGCGGAGTACAGAAGAGGACTGACAGAGAGAGACTTTTAGGATCTGCAGGCATTTCTCCTTAAATCTTCGGCTGCTCCTACAGAAGCATCTGTGGATGGGAAAAGAACCAGGGGAAGGAGCCACGAGCACAATTCTCAGAGCCACACAGTGCTGGGCTCAGCTCACACGGCCGACAGATGGAGAAACCGCCTAACACAGGGGACCTCGGGCCAAGGACTCAGAGCAGCAGTGTCTCAGCATGGGAACGGCAGGTGAAGGTTGCTCAGGTCCTGCCCAGCAGAGTCAAAATGCAAGCCTTGAAAAGATCAAATGATCCCCAAGTAACCCAACTGCACCCCAGCATAAAGCTCAAAAATACTAAAGGAGTAACAATAAAAACAAAAACCAGCACCAAACAACGTAAGGTTCACCATGTCTGGCAACCAATCAGAAATTCCCGGGCATGTCAAATATGACCCATAATACCAATCAATACAAAAAGACCCAGATACAACACATTAGTAGGTAGAATTAGTAGATAAGAGCATTAAAAGGGCTATTATATACTCCACATGTTTTAGAGGTAAGAAAAGTATGAGCATGTTAAAGAGTGACATGGAAGAAACTTTAAAAGCCCAAAACTGAAAATCTAGAGGTAGAAAATACGATATTGGAGATAAAAATACAGTGGACAGGATTAACAGCAGATTAGACAGTGCAAATAGATTAATGAACTTGAAGATAAAACAACAGAAATTTTCCAAACTAGAACACAGAGAAAGATTTGGGGGAAAAACAGAACAGAGCATCAGTGAACTGTGAGGCATCTTCAAGGCCACAGTATTCTTGTAATTAGAATTGAGAAGGTGACATACCTGAAGACGCGTCCTACAGTTTTCCAAATTTGATGCAAATTATAACCCACAAAGCCAAGAAGCTCAAAGAACCCAAGCAGAAGAAACACAAAGACAACCACACAAAGGCACGTCATAATCAAACAGCAAAAAGAGAATCTTAAAAGTAGCCAAGGAAAAAATAGACACATCACATGTTGAAGAACAAAGATAAGAATGATGGCAGAATTCCCACTGAAAACAACGGACCAGCATGGTTAAAGTGCTGGAAGAAAAACACTGTCAACCTAGGAATTCTATACCCAGTGACATTATCTTTCAAAACCGAAGCAAAAAAAGTCTTTTTCAGAAATACCATTAAATGTTGTTAGACGTTTTTATAACACAAGCATGGATAATTTTTATAATTTCAAAAAATTAACTATGTTCCACAAGTATAATAAATATTATGAACATAAACATGGATGTGCCAGGAGTAAAAAGTGGTCGAGTCTGGGGCGTTAATCAGAAGATGAACATGAGATAGTACGGCTCTGTGCTCTGTTGGGGGGGCTCCCTGGGCACGAGGCCCAGTGGAACTGGCAGAAGAGAGGAAGGCAGGCCTGACATAGCAGCAGGAGAGTTTTGACCCACACAAGAGATTATAGGGGCGCCTGGAGGTTTCCAAACAGATGAGAAAAGTGGTAACTGAAGCTCTATTAGCAAATCATACATCTGACAGAGAACCAATAGTATCCTCTCACTGAAACAAAATCCACAGGAAAGTTTTATTGAAAAAATGTGCCATAACTCCAATTCTAGAGGAGAGGCAGCTACCCACTGTGGGGACAGGCACTGCCCCAGGTACAAGACCTCTGTGGTGGGTCAGGGGCTGGGCGCCCAGGAGAAGGTGACAAGCAGCTAGATGGCAGCCCCCTCTGCCTCCTCGCTACTTGTCATCTGATCTGGCACTTCCAGCATCGTTGTTTTTTGCTAACTAAAACAATAATTTTGTAATTACCATAGAAGTTAAGAAAATTCTTCAGGTAGGAAAAATGGAAGTTTTCTAAGACAGAATTGGTGAGGTGACCCTGAAATGGCCTTCAAGTCTAGAACATCCTATAATTTAAAGCATTTATGTCTTTCGTTCTTTCGTCTCCCTTGCCTACTACGGGGTAGAAATTTGGGAATAAACTAGGCTCTCTATCATTCTGTGGATGTTAAGAAAAGCTTTTCAATATATTTTTCTTCTTCTTCGTCTCCCCAAAGCCCCCCAGTACACAGCTGTATATCCTAGCTGTGATTGCCTCTGGTTGTGCTGTGTGGGACGCCACCTCAGCATGGCCTGATGAGCAGTGCCATGTCCACACCCAGGATCCGAACCAGCAAAACCCTGGGCCGCTGAAACGGAGCGTGTGAACTTAACCACTTGGCCACAGGGCTGGCCCCAAGAGAAGCTTTTTAAAGACAAGGAATTATAAGTTCATTTTCAGATTTCTTAATAAAGTATCTAAACAACTGAGTTAAAAATGTAGTAAAAGAAAGTCAGGAAAGTACTTACCCTCACACCACCAAAAGGGACCCAGACACACTGAGAATTTCCTAACCATAGTTAGAAGGGTAGGGCCAATAGCTAACACTGCCTAAAATAACCAGAAGAGGGCAGAGTAAGACCAACGGATACTGCACTTTCACATCTCTTACACAGGACAGCTTCTGTGACTTTTGGCAAAGGGTCATTTTTTAAAATGTTTTTTCAAAACATTTCGTTAATCCTTTTACCTTATCCTGCTCGACACCAGGCTCCCTGTACACGGTCCATCTCTGCCCATCGTCACTGTAGAGAACTCTGTAGGCCGACACATAGTAATTATGCTCCACCATGGTGGAGCCGGTGGTGACGATGCCTGGGGAGTGAGAGGTGCTTTCATTAGTGCCCACGTCTGATCTCGGAGTCTGTTCAGCAGAAACACTGCAGGACAAACACCTAAGATGCCCCGTGCCAGCACTCTGCCTGTGGTGCACGACCACATCTAGGAGCAAGGCTTCCTCAGATCCTCGGCTGCCCCCTGGTGAGAGGAGAAAGACGGGTGCACATGGGAAAGGACTACTCTATCCTGCAGCCTGCGAGTGTGTCCTTAGAAAATACATTTCACCTACTGAGTAAGAATGATCTTCTGGGAACGAACAGATTAAAGACGATTGTTTTCAGTACCAAAGCAAAACAAATCTTAACAAAACCAATCCCAACCAATTATTCAAACCATTTGCTAAACTGCTCTAAATACTTATATTTATATTCAGCACATATGAAATATTTTTTATAGCACTTAAAGGGGACTTCTTGGACTTAAATTTCTCATAATGACTGTAAGAGGATGGTTATTCCAGATGTCTCAAGATCCCTTTACTGAAGCAGTGCCTTGAAAGAATCTTAGTACAATGAAAAGGGAAGCTAACAAGAATCCGATACCAACTCCTCTGCCCTGTCATGTTTCTTATAAAAGCATCTTCATTAATATTAACACCAACAAAGAAAACAAAACCATAGAATTAAATCTGCAGTGACCTAATTTTCTATAAAAATCTTAGACGGGGGTAGGCCCAGGGGCACAGCAGTTAAGTTCACGCGTTCCGCTTTGGCAGCCCGCGATTCACCCATTTGGATCCTGGTGTGGACCTGCATACCACTTGGCAAGCCATGCTGTGGCAGGCATTCCACATATAAAGTGGAGGAAGATGGGCACAGATGTTAGCTCAGGGCCAGTCTTCCTCAGCAAAAAGAGAAGGATTGGCGACAGACATTAGCTCAGAGCTAATCTTCCTCAAAAAAAAAAAGAAAGAAAGAAAAATCTTAGATGTCAGCAGCTTTCCAAACAGAATCCATGTCACACGTTGCTCTAGAAGGTTGTGTCTCTTACCTGTTATCTTCTTCTCCTTGTTCAGGTCGACTTGTAACCACTGGTACTCGTCAGTGGCAAGTGCAGCCCAAGGAGGTCCTGGCTTCTTCAGCCGGGCCTTTGCGGGTTTCCAACTGTTCTCTTGGCCTGTGTGGTCAGTCCACTCCAGCACAGACGACGCCGTGATCTGTGCATCAGCTATCACACCAGATTCCATCCCCAGTGTTCCATAACACCCTGAATCAAAGAAGAAAGCAATGTGCTTCCAGCTATAAATTCACAACCTGGATAAACCTGCTCATCGCAAGCTTTCTCTCGTACCTTTAATTAGCACACACTACGCTAATGACACATTGTAATAGAGAGATTTCAACATCAGGCACGTGTTTCTTGGGTCTAGGTCTCTGGGTCTCGTCAGGAAACGTATGTATGTGTCCATGAGCAATAACTGTTAGTTTAAAGGAGATGCATGACCCTCTGCCAGATGCCACCCGCACGTCCTCCAGGTGTCTGCTCAGAGGCCACATTCTCCACGAGGCTGCCCTCCCTCCACGGGTCCCTCCTGCACTGCCTCGCCTTCTTGCTTTATTTCTCTACAATATTCTTGCTTTATTTTTCTTCTATGACACTATGAGCAATAATCTAGTTATTCACTGTTTACTGGCAATCTGTCACTCCGACTGCAAGCCCTGGAGGCAGGACTGTGTGTTGTGCTCACTGCGGTCTGGCCACCCCAGAACGGGCCTGAGAGGCGAGAGGAGGCTCCCAGTGAACGTGTTCTGTCAAAGGAATTCACTACTTCTTCACACAAGTTCAAAATCACCTGTTCTAAGAAACTTCTCCCTCTTAAAGTCAGACCTCCCGTTGACTTCATTTGTTATATTACTAAACACTCATCTGCCCTCACAGTGTTATTGTGACACCTACATGAGAAAGGGCAAAACAGTGTGTGCCTGACACCAGTGTGCAAGAAATACTGACTATTACGCAAATTACAGAGTTATAAAGTCCATGAAAGGCTTACCACTGGTCTTAAATGTAAAAAGACTTGTAGATAAGTGTCCCCTGAAAGAGAGAAAGGTTTTTTGGTGACACTCACGTAACACATGGCTTCCCCAGATTTATATCAGTAACACTTTTTCTGTTGTGTTTATTTTACCATACAAAGAACTAAGAAAACTCTCTGCCTATATATTACAATTGATGTTGTTCCTAGCAAAAAAGTCTCACTTCTAAGCAAAGCAACTTCTGAAATCAGCATAAACAACTTTCTCTACAAGTCTCTAGTTCCCAGTTTCATATACAATTGTGCTAATGTGTCCACATAACCTTTAATATGTACTTATTTTATTTCTTTTTCAGGCAATAAACTGATTCCTAATACTTTCGTGTGGCTTCTGGGGAAAGTACACTGAAAGGCGTAACTCTCAGAGAACGAGGCTCGAGCTCCCTGGGCAAAGAGAGGAAAAGCTGCTACCATAGGGAGACTGCGTCTGGTGCAGAAAAGCAGCACGTCCCAGACGACGAGCTGCAGAGCTAAAAGCAGCTGTGTGCTTAGGTTTCAAGGTGACGTGTGGAACAGGTGCAGCGGGGAGAAGGCGCGGACAGCGAGGAGCCCACCTCACGCAGGTCACAGGCTCTAAGGAACTTGGAGGGACTGAGTCATCGGGGCACAATCCTGCTGTGAGCACAGCACCCAAACCATTACAACTGGACTCAGCCTGTCCTAATTTTTTTTGAATATAAAAGAGCGAATTCACATACAAAAAAAATCCTCTCCCACGGAAGCACAGGGAAGGACTGAAAGGATCTGCAGAAAGCGTGCGGAAGACCGTGAGAGGGATGGTAGCCGACTCCATCAGGACGGGCACACAACAGCCCACGCAGGGCCTGCTCTGCATGCCCAGGGAGCTACGTGGTTAAGGCAGAGTCGTAACAAAATGAAAAGAGTAAGTGACAGAGACACATGGCCCATAATGCAGACAATATCTGCAGGCTGGTCCTTCACAACATGCCTACTCCTGCTTCCTACTGTCCTGGGTGCCGGTCACGTGCCTGCCTTCTGAACGGAAAGTGGCCTCATGCCTCAAAGAAACTGCTCACAATGGGCTCAGCACTGTCTGCAATGCTGAGGCATCTCAAGGGGCAAGAGCCACGAAGACGACCAGGAGGACTGCATCTCCGCTCAGCGCTCCAACCTCCCCTGCTTTCGATGTCTAAGTCACGTCCAACAGTGGAACACACAGACACCGGAAAACACATTCTTAAAACATTCTCTTGGGATCAAAGGGATTCATAACAAAACTACTTCTGATTTAGGTCAAAACTTAGTTTACGTTGAAAGTATTTCAGCTATCTGATCCATCCAGGTCACAGAGGCTGTAAGGAACAGAGTAGCTATGGCTTCTCATCTTCAAAATGAAGCGAGAATTTGGCAGTAAACTTCTAGACTCTTATTCCAGTTTTTTTCCAACACTTAGAAAAGAAGAAAGAAACAAACCACTCTTCCAAATGACGTTTTTGACAGACAGGCTGAGATGTAACCTTCAATACGCTCGGACACTGAGCACCTGCAATGCGAGTGCTGGCCGCACAAACATCATTTCCCAAATGCCATCCGCAGTGAGATCGCGGGGCGCTAACGAGCCCCACCCCAGCCCGCCCGGCACGCGTATTAGGAACAGCGCAGATACTCACACCACAGACGTGACGTTGTTGGCCAGAGAACTCTCGTAGTACGGGATTCCCTTACTGATGACGACACTGATCTGCCCGCCCAGCACGTTTGACACCACTCCTGCGTGCACACCCGCCATGCACAAGGGCGAGGACTGGGGAGGGAGAGACAAGCCTAGTGCTTGATTGTCTTCTGATAATTCATAAGCAAGACACACTTCCTCAAGAAATTAGTTGAGCTGGGCAGTTTTCTCAATAAACGTGGGATAGATTATTGATGTTCTAACATAGAACAAATTTTTAGCGGAAGAAAAAAATAAAACACATATTATGAAAAACAAACAATTCCTAAAAAATAAAAATCAAGATACAGATATACAATAGGTCACATCCACCTATTCTAGAGTTTAAAAAAAATAAAGTTACATCAAAACTTGAACACGAGCCTGTATCCCACTCACATCTCTATATCCATGAGGGATCGTTCCGGATATCTCAGCAAAAGGAAGCAGACAGCCCGCTGGGCAGTACTTACTGCAAAATACAAACAAGTTCAAGGGGAGACGGCTGTACCTTCTGGGGAAAGACAACATCACATACCCATTTTTCAGTTTAACGTAGATTTCATAACCCACACCCCCCCAACAGGCCCTTTCCGACTTGCTCCCTCCATCCTCACGCACGCTCCCCCACGTGCTCACAGAAGCTGTCTCAGCTTCTGCAAATGCTTTATGTACTTCCTGGTGAACGGCAGACAGTTTCTACTGTACGATCTACGCATCATCTTTAAGAGCTGCATGATATTCTATTTTGTGGATAAACCAGGGTTGTACTTTACCAACCCTCTACTGGTCAAACATAAGTTGGCCTAAACATGCCTGGCATTCGCTCGTTTACTCACTCTCCCGCCCACCAGCCACGGAGCATGGTCACCCGCACATCTGCCCCGTCCTCTGCCAGGGGCTGGGCCCTGGGTTTACAAAGGTCAACCACGCCTGCCCCTGTCCTCACGGGGCTTCCATTCCAGCGATGGGGAGGACATTAACCGACAGTTACACTGACAACTAGTCAGACTGCAACTGTGCTATGAAGGAAAGGCACTCCATGAAGTAACTGGGAGCGATCTAACTCAACAGGCGTAACGCAGACCCTCCGTAAACACGCTGCGTGCCAGGCGGCATTCTACTGCTCAGGGAATGCACCGCGGAACCCTGCGGGTGGGGACCATCACCCTCAGTTGACAGACGGGCCGTGTCTGTGCCCCACGCAGGGCTCGGCACCGCCCCGGTCACGGAACGGGCTCTGAGGAAGTGCAACTTGGGCGGAGAAGGAACGGCCGTCCCTGGAGCACGCGGAGGGAAGCGCACGGCCTCAGAAGGAACGGCGCGGCCCTGGGCAGGACGGCTGGGTGGGTTGGAGCTGAGGGGGACGAGCGCAGGCAGGAGGGAAGGTGAGTCTGAGAGAAGGCGGGAGAGGTGGGCAGTGGCCAGGCGTGCCGAGGCCCTGCGGCTAGGGTAAGGAGCCTGGAATATGTATCTAAGTAAAAACAGGCAGCCAACAAAGGATTCGACAGCTTGTACACATAATCTGATTCATATCTTTAAAAAGAGCATCGTGGCTCCCGGGAAGAAGAGCTCGTAAGGAACCAGGCGTGGAAGCTGGGATAGCACCAGGCAGAGAGTACGGCAGTCCAGGCGAGAGATGGGGGCAGCCTACACATGGGCGGTGACGACGGAGCTGGAGAGTGGAGGGCATAAGACAGCTGACCCTCTGGCAGGGCTGCGTGCCATACACCAGGGCCAGGGTTACCTCTGCTGAGCAGGATGCCCCACGAGTGCTGAGGAGCATGCCTAGGCCACATGGAGACAAGGCGAGTTCTTTGGGGAGTGGCCCCCAGCTGGGGGAGGTTAGTGAGAGGGGTCTTAGAAGAGAATGATTGTGCCAAGCAGAGAGGAGCAAACGGATTCCAGGCAGAAGTTCTCAGGGCTCAAGAGCAGGGTAAACAATGAAGAGCTGCTTCAGCACAGCACACGAGATGGGACTGGAAAAGCGGCCCCAGGACCCCGTGTGAAGGATCCTAAAAACCAGACGGAGGAACCTGGACGACTTTTTGTCTTAATTAGGAGGTCCTGAAGATTTTTTTTTCTGAGGGAGACTGGCCCTGAGCTCACAACAGTGCCCATCTTCCTCTACTTTATATGTGGGACACCTGCCACAGCATGGCATGCCAAGCGGTGTGTAGGTCTGCACCCGGGATCCAAACTGGTGAACCACAGGCCACCGAAGTGGAACATGCGAATTTAACCGCTGTGCCAGCGGGCCAGCCCCCTGAAGATTTTTAAGCAGGGAATGATGAGACGTGTACTTTAGAAAATAAGTTGGCAGCAATGCGAATGGCAGAATAAAGCCAGCAGAGGTGACAGACGGGAGATCGACGGGAAGTTAACTGCACTCCCGGCAAGAGACGTGAGGAAGGCAGACAGCAGCCACACTTCCAGGTGAGATGAGGACGGGCTCTCAGACAGCCTAAATCGTCCTCGTCTCTTTTTGGAGAAAAAACAAATAGCTCTTCTACCTTTATTAGCAGTTTTGCCAGATTCTGAAGAGCAACCAGTTCTACTTTCAAAGTATATTAAAATTATACTTTTATTGTGGAGAAGATCCAAATGCTAAAATTAAAGTTAATTTAAACACAGCGACTCAACGGCTTTCAAAAGCTCTGATAATGAAGTTTCAGAACATGATTATGTGTCACACCACATCCATGAATCTTAAGTGTATAAAGAGTGAGGATAAAGTAGATAAAGAATAACATTTAAGAGAGAAAGTCACAAATATGGTCATACCTGAACTCAGGTTCCGAAAAACTGGCTGCAGTGTCTAAACAAGTAATCAGATCTAGAAAAACAAAAATGAAGAACGGATTCAATAATATGTAGGTTTACCCTTGCTGAAACACCAACTGCTTCCAAATTCCAAGTTGTATTGTCCTAAATTTCAAAATCTCAACGGCTGTCAAGGTAGTACTAACAACTTTTTACAAATTTTTGTTAATTACGCTTTCTAATTTTAAGTATCTTAATTTCTGGGGCTATGTCTCCCAATACTGTTTACCACCACATCACGTCATAGAATCACATGTCAGATATATAGAAGGTACATATAAAAATTACAGTACAGTGTATAGCCCTAAAATGCTTTCTATAAAATACAGCTCCCAAAACAAAGAAAAAATATTACTTAGTTCTTATATGACTAAAAATGATCCTTTGCTGGTTACACACAAGGGAAATGATGACAAAAGAGAGGTGAGTTAATTCTGTGGCTGTGAATATGCTACTCAAAATCTGGTCCACAGACAGGACCAGCAGCAGCATCTTCTGGGAACTTACTGGAACTGCAAATTCCCGAACACCATGCAGTCTTACAGAATCTCTGGGACTGGGGCCCAAAAATCTGTTTAACAAGTCCTCCAGGTAATTCTTATGCACACTAAAGTCGGAGCAGCACTGCTTTAAATAAGAGAGGACTTGAAACATTTCCCATCCAGAAATCAACAAATCTGCATAAGAGCTAATGTGTCTCATGAGGACCTGGTTCACAGGCTGTGTAAAAGGTGGTTTCTGGTTCAAATATTTCAATGGCTTCCTTCTATGCTTAGGACAGAGGGCCAAGTCCTCAACATGGCCCCCCTGGTGGGTCCTGAAGTGCCCTTATTGGTCTCGCCTCAGCTTCTTGCCACACTAGTCTTCGCCCAGTCCTTCTGGCACACGCTGCTCTCCTGGCCTGGAAGGCTTTCCACCACCCCCCTTAGGAAGCTGACTCCTCCCTAAGAGCTCAGCTTAACTGTCGCTCCTCAGAAGCTGTCCCTGACCTTCACAGGTCACACACCTGCGGCACGTGATAGGCGTTTCAGCGTGTCTTAGTGAACGATGACTACTGCATGTTCTTGTAGTACCACATGTTGAAAGAACGCTTTGTTGATGCATGACAGAGTTAGACAACATCATTTTATAAAGCCTGGTCTGCACACAGACCGCAGCCCTCTGTCCTCACCTTCGTGTCACCAGCAGCAATGACAGCACGTGGCATAACAACACACTTTCAGTCAACCGTTATCGAACAAGTGACGCACAAGCGTTTCTGACTGTTGGCACGTTTGACTAACCTGATCGTGTACTCGCCTGCAGGGAGGAAGACCTGGACAAATGCCTGGCCCTTGGCTGTGCCGAGAGCGAGAAGCACAGACAGAGCGCGCGCCTCGCATGCCCCCAGCACACCGATGGCACACAAATACGTTAAATTAACGGCCTCCACAGCAAGCGCAGGGTAACCGATGACTCGACGCTATGGTTCTGAGGAAATTACGTGTTTACTATCCAACTGCAACGTGTCCTGAAAGAACTAAAGCCTAACAACTGTGACAGGAAAGGGCTATTCTGAGAGCGAGCTCATGGACCGACATCTGTACACCACAGGCATCTGAATGGGGATGGAGTTAACCGTGTTCAGTTTGAGAGGACACATGCCTGGACAGGGTTCACTATACCTGGGTGACAGACGGGGAGCAGTAGACACACTGAATCACCTACGTTCCAGTGATGCCCACAATCTTCAGACAGCATCGACAACAACTGAGTCTCCATGAAAGAGTTTCCAGTTTCTAAGATCAGAAACGCAACTTCTAAGACCAACAGCCTGGGATGAAAGGTGCCTGTGTGGTCCAACTTGGCATTCAAGCCACAGGAAGACTGCCAGCCGGCCCTGTTACCTTCAGGCCACATGCCAGATGCTGGTCAACTGACGATATGCTGGATCAGGGCAGGGCTTTATCGCAAGTCCACGCAGTGCTGACACGTAGAGTATGCCACACAAATGTAGGCAACTCGCTGGACCTTGCTCTCAAATTCCATGGGGGCTCAAAAGAGCTCCCTAGGAGGAAAACAGGAATTCAAAATGGACAGCTATAAGGAAAGCCAAGATGACTAAAGACAGAAAAAGAAAGTCATGGTTACAGACATTGACCTTTACAATCCACAAAGGCAAAGAAAACACCAAGTATGCAGGCAACTTAAGAAGCTTTAAAAAGCGTCTTTCTTGAAAGCTTTTCCCAAGTAAACAGCCTTCCAGAAAACAACTATTACTACAAGGTTCCCAGATAATAAGAACAGAGCCTAGTAAGATAAATACAGCTCAAAGAAAGCCAGCTGCCTTGGCAACTTCTGACAGCAATGTATAAGAAGTTATCACTGGGGCTGTCCCTGTGGCCCAGTGGTTGTTTGTGCGCTCCACTTTGGTGGCCCAGGGTTTCACCGGTTCAGATCCTGGGCACGGACATGGCACCGCTCATCAGGCCATGCTGAGGTGGCATGCCAAATAGCACAGCCAGAGGCACTCACAACTAGAATACACAACTATGTAGTGGGGGGCTTTGGGGAGAAGAAGAAAAGAAAAAAAAAAAGAAGACTGGCAACAGTTGTTCAGATGGCAATCTTTCAAGAAAAAAGAAGTTATCACAATGAATGGAACAGAACTGAGTCTAGAAATAAATCCTCAAATTTACAGTCAATTGATTTGACAAGGGTGCCAAGAGAATTCAATGTGGAAGAAGATCGGTCTTTTTAACAAATAGTACTGGGACAGCTGGATAATCACATGCAAAAGAATGAAATTGGACCCGTCTCCTATCATATACAAAAATTCACTCAAACTGGATCTAAATTTAAGAGATAAAACTATAAGACTCTTAGAAGAAAATATAGGTGTAAATCTTTTTTCCTTTTTGCAGGGAAAGATTCTCCCTGAGCTAACATCTACTGCCTATTTTCTTCTTTTTCCCCCTCCCCAAAGCTCCAGTGCACGGTTGTAAGTACTCCTAGCTCTTCTATATGAGCCACCATCACAGCATGGCAACTCACAGACGGGTGGTGTGGTTCCACGACTGGGAAAGAAACCCAGGCTGCCAAAGCAGTGAGAGCATCCAATTTTAACCACTAGGCCATCAGGGCTGGCTCTCTAGGTGTCAACCTTGACCTTGGATTAAGCAATGGTTTCTTAGATATGACAACGAAAGCATAAGCAACCACACAAAAATACATAAACTGAATTTCATCCAAATTAAAAACTTTGTGCTTTAAAGGACACTATCATGAAACAGAAAGATAACCCACAAAATGGGAGAAAGTATTTGCAAATCATATATCTGATAAGGATCTAGTATCCAGAATACATAAAGAATTACTACAACTTGACATTAAAACACAAATAACCCAATTTAAAAATGAGCAAAGAACCTGAAAGACATTTCACCAAAGGAGATACGCAAATGGCCAATAAGCACTTGAAGAGACGCTCAGCATCCTTAGCTATGAGGGCAATGCACATTAAAATCATGAGATAGCACTTTATACCTACTAGCTATAAAGGATGGCTAGAATCAAAAGAACACGTGATAAATGTTGGCAAGGATTTGGAGAAACTGGAACCCTCATACACTGCTGGTGGGACCGTAAAATGATGCAGCTGCTTTGAAAAATGGTCTGGCAGTTCCTGAAAAGGTAAATGCAGAGTTATCATATTTCCCGGCAATTCCACTACTAGGTATATACCTGAGAGAACTGAAAACATATGTCCACACAGACACTTGTAACACAAACATTCATCAACTGATGAATGGATAAACAAAATGTGGAGGTGGAAAATCCATCCAATGGAATATTATTTGACCATAAAAAGGAATTAAGTACTCATACATGCTACAACATGGATAAATCTGAAAACATGCTAAGTGAAAAAAAACAGTCACAAAAGACCACATACTATATGATTTAATTTACATGAAATGTCCAGAGTAGGTGAATCTATAGAGAAAAAGTAGATTGGTGGTTACCTAGGACTTGGGGGGGCAGGGTTAAGGGGTAGGGAATGGGGTGTGACTGCTACCGACCATGGGGCTTCTTTCAGGGTGATGAAAATTTTCTAAAATTCACCATGGTGATGACTGCACAACTCTGAACACACTGAAGGTCAATGATTTTAAGTAGGTGAATTGTATGGTGTGTGAATTACATCTCAATAAAGCCATTATAAAAACTTTAAAAAATAAAAAGAAGCTATCACAAAAGTAGTAACAATTTCCTTTTATCTGCAGCACGCGTGCACTGAGGGATGCAATGAAGCTGGTAAAGGCAGAGCCAGGACTGGCGCGCATTCACATACACATTTGCTCCTTCCTTCCTTCAACAAACATCTAACAAGCGTGCGCCTGATCAGGTGCCATTCTAGGCACAGAGACAGAGCAAAGACCAACCAGACAAAACCCCTGCCCAGGCCCTGTCCCTCCCGTGGGGACAGGAGGGAACAGACAACAGGGGAAAGAAAACTACGTAGCGTGTCAGTGGGTGATAAAAAACGTTGAAAAGATGAAGGAAGACGACCGTCAGGAAAAGTTAAGGGGTTGTGATTTTGAGCAGAGGGCAGGGTGGGCCTCACTGTGAAGGCGGCCTCTGAACAAAACTCTAAGACAGGTGAGGGGTGAGGCGTCTGGGCGACTGGGAGGAGAAAGAGGGGCCACAGAGGCTCCCAGGAAGGTGCATGCCCAGCGTGCCTTAGGCCAGAGGGAGCAGGGGAAGAAAAGCAGGAGATGAAGCCAGACAGTAGCGAGAAGCCACAGCCTCAATGTCTTGGAGGTGGGGGCACTGGGCAGAGTGGGACGGCAGCTTTGTGGTGGGCACACGGCCCTCTGCTCAGGCCACCTGGCACGCTTCCCTGTCCTCTCTGTATGGCCACAGGACAGTCAGCACCTACTGGGCAGCTTTCGCACTTGTCTCAGCAGCAAGGGCGAACTCAGAGAGGGGAGTCACCGACCTAAAAAAGAGCTTCAATCCTTTCCTAAAGCCTGCCTTCCTTAACCCGAGAAGGCTTCTAGAGGAGGCAGGACAATGGTCCAGTGAGGGAGAGCAGGAGAAGACGCAGAAGAAAGGCAGCCCGGCAAGCGGCAAGAGGGTGAGGGTTCAGGCTTTCTCGGCAGACAGCAACTCAGGTTCTCTGAGCCAGCTCCAGACCTAGCGCGATGCCTGTCAGCCAGAGTCCATAGCCCATCCACAGTTCTTTTCTTTCTAAATTGAAGCATAATTCAAAATTTTTCCAACAGATAATAAGGGCAAAGGCTGGGGACCTTGATAACTGCTCCATGCAACACTTATGTACACATGACATCAGTGTTAGCCCACATACAACACCATGAAATATGATCAACACTTATTTACACATGACATCAATGTTAGCCCACATACAACACCATGAAATGCGATCAACACTTATTTACACATGACATCAATGTTAGCCCACATACAACACCACGAAATATAATCAACACTTATTTACACATGACATCAATGTTAGCCCACATACAACACCACGAAATGCGATCAACACTTATTTACACATGACATCAGTGTTAGCCCACATACAACACCACGAAATATAATCAACACTTATTTACACATGACATCAATGTTAGCCCACATACAACACCACGAAATACAATCAATACTGTAAAAGTCGACAGATTGGTCAGAAAAATGTCAGTATACTGGTTACTATCTTAGGAATGACAGCATTGGCTATTTCTGAGACTGCAGGATTGTGAAACGGAGTCAGACTTGCTCTCCGTTCAGTGCTCCTGAACAGGTTGAAAAGGACTCTCAGCAGTGCGAGGTACCACCCCCACAACAGTAAGATGCCAGCCCAATCAGCTGCAGGCTCATTTCCCCCCAGGTGCAGCCACTTCTTCTAAAGGAAGGGAGCACAGACACCGGTGTTCATTCCGACCTGGGAAGCATAAAGTACCATAACTAAGCCACTGCCCTCAGCCACCAGAAAGGAGAACGTCTATGAAGAAGCAGGACCATGTACACCTACAAATTCTCCTTCATTTGCCCTAAAATTCTTCAAACAACGATTTCCATGAGCCGGGAGAACGTGGAGCCTTGCTTTCCACACACACGCCGTGTCAGGGACCGCACACTGCAGCTGTACAGCTGCTTTGCTCAATGCTGGAGGAGGGTGCTGAGACTCCTCTCATGGCTGAGTCCTCCTGTCGGTATTACTGTGTGGCCTCAGGCCTAACTCCCCCTTTACTTCTGGAACCTGGCATCGTCTGGACCATCTGCAATTTAGCGAAGGGGAATTTCCACATATAAGAGAACATAACCCGCTGTGGTTCAGGGTCAACCAACATTCACTAAGTGGCAGGTACTCAATGAGGTATTTTACATCTTACCTCCTTTTACACACTGAGAGCAGAGATTAAATCTCATGCTTCTCTCAGAAATATTATGATGCCCTCTCTGGAAGCTGAGTCCACAGGAGGAGCTCAGGAAAAATTTTCTCAGATGAAAACATCACTGCTCCCTTACAGACGACGCAGGCGTGGCTCAGCTACCTAAGCAGTAACCGACGTACGCAGAGAGGCTGTGAGCCGCACATGGATGAATCGAACCCTGCCCACACCTAAACTTCCGTACACTAAAATATGAATGTGACATACTGAAAGACACTGTAAGACATTAAAATGTTATAAGACATTTTATGTTAAAATATAAAAGACATTAAAAATACCAAAGATTGTAAGACATATTAAAATTCTTCTGTGACCCACACAGTGTCTAGGACACTAGCAGACACATTCTTAAGAACAACAGGGAAGGAGTACATCCACAGGCTAGCACAAGACAGCACAACACACATCCGGTCCCCTCGCAGCATTCTTAACGTGCGGAAGAAACGAAACAGAGCAACCGCTAAAATCATTAAGGTGCTCTCCAGACTGTCAAGTTGGAATAAACTCTATCCCATAAGCTGAACTGCCTCGTTGGGTTAACACCATTTTAACAGATTAACTCTCTTTATAAATGCTCTTTCTCTGCAAAATTGGTAACACTTTATCCATCAGCACCTTCGTCCTACAAATTGACACCAAAACACAGACATTTTCCTGCATGTATACTGATCATACACACACACACACACACACACACACACACACACACAATCCTTATTTCTGTATAAATAAAGACAAACCTAAAGATATGCATGTAAACTGAGACTTCATTAATAAAATCTTATTAAATATTAGTTTAAGAGTTTTAAAATGTTTGCCAGGTACAATAACAAAAATTAGGAACACAACAGAAAAACTAAAAATAGAAACCTAGCTAAGTGCAGCACTCAAAATGGAAATGATTCTATAAAATTACTGTATAGCTGGGGCCAGCCTGGTGGCATACGGGTTGGGTTCGTGAGTTTCGCTTTCACCGTCCAGGGTTCACGGGTTAAGATCCCAGGTGTAGAACTACACACTGCTCACCAAGCCATGCTGTGGCGGTGTCCCACATACAAAATAGAGGAAGATTAGTACAGATGTCAGCTCAGGGCCAATCTTCCTCACCAAAAAAACTTGCACAATTAAGGCAGGAAACAATCTAAGGAACTCATGCTCTATTTTCAAAACCAAAAACATCCCATGCAGGAAAAAGACAACCAGTTACAGAAATCTGGACTCCATTAGAGAGGAGTTCTCTATTCTGCCCTATGTTTCATTTACAAATTGATATAATCTGATGGAAGAGGGAAGAAATGGAAAACATTTGCAAAAATATATGATTAAAGGATGTAGCAATCAGAAAATTTTTATACTATTGGTGTTAATTCTAAAAATAACCTAACATAAAGCAACAATAACCCTGTGGAATGGGAATAGTTCCTAGGCCCGGCTGTTCACGAGTCTCAGGCAGTGTCCTCAGGTTCTACGAGTCAGCGGGCATCCAACGTGTGAGTGTCAATACATTCCAACTGGAAGGTATGTCAATATCCACTTTGTATCATTGTATTTCATGTGAAATATTAAACTATTTATTACTTTTTCGCACAAAAATTAAGGCAAACTTTAAACTAACCACTACAAAATTCTGGATTGGTAACATCTGAAGTGATGAGGTTTAACACTACTTTTTAAGCGATGATTTCACGTTCTACAAAAGGACTGTCAGGCCATCACTTTTCAGCTGCACACGTACACGCATGTACACACACAGAGAACACCCAGTTTATGGCACTTGACAAACACAGGCTGCCTTCAAGGGCTTGAAGCTTTCAACGCAGATGCAGATGTCTTCTGAGCTCATGGTTTTATAACTAAAATAACCTAAAAAATCATTGCCTGGAGCCATCTGAGAATTGCTGAGCTTTTCCTAGAAACTGATCTACTAATGTCGAGCAGATTCAAAACGAGGAATTTAGATCACCCACCCATAAAATTCATTTTGTTTTTCAAGTCCAGTGATAAATGCTGTTTTTACGTTTAGATTTTAGGATGAAAATGTCACTATCACTTATTATTACACTAGATTAAAAGATCTGAGTGGCCGAGTCTGGGCCTCTGAGTGGCTGGTTCCGCCTCTCTCAGAAGGACCAGGGATGGCCCAGCAGCTTCTCTCTGGAACTTCCGTACAGGGGTTGTAATATGACGTCCAGGATGTCTCCAGGTCCACACACATCTTCAGTCTTCATATGAAAATTTCAACTCCAGAAAGTCTAGTTGGAACCTGGGGGAATTATACCAACTCAGAGCAGAAACATCAGTCTTCTAATAATTACTGGAAGTGCTGATCAGTATTTACCTGCCTTTCCTTGCTATCCAAGGAAGAAATAGGAAAGATCCTTCCCCTGGTAGATACAGTCTTTCAAAAATGAGGTTTACAGGTAAAAATTAAGAGATCACTGGTAATGGAAAAGACTAGAAACACCTGCTCAAAGATCATTAAAAATAACAGAGAGGAGTAAAATCGTAAAAGTTATAAAAACCAGACCCAACAGTGAAGAGCAGACCAGGGTCAGTGGCCCAGACACAGTCCAGGCTGCGTTATGGCAGCTCAGAGCATCCTCCAGGAGGCTTCTCCGGGTCCGAGACTCACAACCTAAAGTCTGGCAGGTGGACCTCGATCTTGGAAATGTTTCCCTGTAGAAGGAATGTCGGATTCTAAAGTCTTCAAAAAGAATGAAATTAGAATCCGGCCTAATTCTAGAGACACATTTATAACAAGACTTTAATCCAACCATCTCTGATCCCGCCTTCTCTAACAGCCTCTTCGCTGGCCTCCCTACAACCACTCCTCCACCTCTGTGACCCCCGTCTTCACTGAGCAGGGAAAGCCGTAAAAACACACACACAAACCTGTCAGACCACTGCTCTGCTGCGCAGCGTCCACACACGCGGAGGGAAAGCTCCAACCCTCCACGTTCTCCAAGGCCCTGAGCGACGTGACCCGCCCAGCGCACGGCCCACACCACCACTGCTCTGCTGCGCAGCGTCCACACACGCGGAGGGAAAGCTCCAACCCTCCACGTTCTCCAAGGCCCTGAGCGACGTGACCCGCCCAGCGCACGGCCCACACCACCACTGCTCTGCTGCGCAGCGTCCACACACGCGGAGGGAAAGCTCCAACCCTCCACCTTGTCCAAGGCCCTGAGCGACGTGACCCGCCCAGCGCACGGCCCACCCCACCGCCTGCCTTTCTCTGCGGCTGCTCCAAGGCCCTGAGCGACGTGACCCGCCCTGCGCACGGCCCACCCCACCGCCTGCCTTTCTCTGCGGCTGCTCCAAGGCCCTGAGCGACGTGACCCGCCCTGCGCACGGCCCACCCCACCGCCTGCCTTTCTCTGCGGCTCCTCCAAGGCTCCTTCCCAACACACAGCCTTCGACCTGCTCCTCTCTTCCCTAGAACGTTCTTCTTCCTTGCCTGTCTGGAACCTCCCATTAATCCTTCGGTTCTCAGCTTAAAAATGACTTCTTGGGACTGGCCTGGTGGTGCACTGGTCAAGTCCCCGCACCCCTCTGGTCTCCTACTGCCTGAACGTTTCCTTCATCATACGTACCACGGCTACAGTAAGGAACCATGCAGTCAATGCCTTTCTCCAACCCTGTACGTAAGCCCCATCCAGGCGTCCCCTGTCTGTCTTGTTCACTGCCTTGTGCCCCGTGCCAGGCATACTCCAGGAAACAAGGCAGCGAAGGGAATATAATTTTCCAATGGGCTCTCACAAAAAGTAAAGAAAATTAGTCTCTCTCTCACAAAATCATGTCTCTATCAACAACACACACTATAACATCAACAGATCTTTGTGAGAGTTTGACAAATGAAGAATCTGTTGAAACCAGAGTATCACAATCTTTTCATTCCCAAACACTCTGAACTCTCCCCTGAGTTGCTAAGGTGGGGACATGCAGTGATGTTCCCTGAAAATACTCAGGGAATTCAGTGTGACAGCTAAGTTGTCTGGACAACCAGCCTTCAAATGAATGGTCATCACAAGAAATAGTGTTGGAAAGGCCACCCAAGGAGAAGCAACAGGAAATTCAACCAGTTTCTCTTGAATTTAGCCAATTAACTTCAAATAAAACAAATGCTTGATGGATGGGACAAGGACATGCCAAAACACAAGTAAAATCTCAGGAGAGACTGTGAAATGAGGACTTCCCGAGATGATTACGACCTTGCAAAGTGTTACTGAAAAGAAGTTTTGATTATTTCAAAACCCTCTGGAAGGTAAGATTCATCTCAAATAGTGAGGCAGTCATCTGAAGTCTGGCAGAGACGCATTAAATCCACAACCTCCTGATTCTGGTGTCTGAGATCACTGTCAGCTCCGAAGAAACTTTAAGGCAGAACATTCAGATTTCTGCGGATCCAAGAGCCCCATAATTTAAACACTGAAAATAAGAACTGCTTTTTTTTTTCCTTCAGATTGGCACCTGAGCTAACAATTGTTGCCAATCTTTTTTTTTTCCTCTTTCTCCCCAAAGCCCCCCAGTACATAGTTGTATATTTGTACTTGTGGGTCCTCTAGTTGTGGCATGTGGGACGCTGCCTCAGCATGGCTTAATGGGCGATGCCATGTCCACACCCAGGATCCGAACTGGCAAAACCCTGGGCTGATGAAGTGGAGCACGTGAACTTAACCACTTGGCCATGGGGCCGGCCCCTGTTTCTTATTTTTTTAAAAAGAGGGGATATTTATTTTCCAGAGATCTTCAACTCGATAAATAACAAAGAGAGAAAGGGGAAAATATCAAAAAGCAAAACAAATAATTTAACCTGATATCGTAACCGAGAAATTTAAGGAGAATCAGAAGTAAATCAGTTGTCCATTTTCCATCTTCTCACCATCACCCAGGATGCCCAGGAAGCAGAGGGACAGGACGGAACCCGCCATGGCCTCCCTGTTGGCCACCTTGCACTTTTGGGGGTGGGGGAACCAGCAGTTGTTCTGTGCCTACTACACCGCGTGCCCACAGACACTGCCCGTGTGTCACTGGACTCAGTCCTCACAGCTAACACATTACGATGAAGTCCAGAGGTGACTCCCGTGTGTCACTGGACTCAGTCCTCTCGGCTAACACATTACGATGAAGTCCAGAGGTGACTCCCACGTGCAGAGGCAGGGCCACTGAGCGCTCCTTCTACGACACCACGCCGCCCTGGTTGTCCCGGTTCCGTCAGAAATAGTAACTGCTCTGGCGGCAGAACGTGTCCAGCTCTTTTCCTCTCATTATTCCATCCAAACGAGTTTTCTTTCTCTCTCTCTGAGGGATTTTATTAGCCAGCGAACACTTTGTTCCATAGCTTAGAAACTACAGGAAAGCAGACCTTTCTTCACACAGAACAGCTCTCCTGTCACCTTCTGAAGGCCACTCTCACCAAGACAGAGTTACCGCGAACGCCCCCCGGCGGCAGGAACAGCGCACGGCCCGCAGCCCCGCCCGGCGCCCAGCACCTCACGCGGGCAGCTTCTCAATTTTCTCATCTATGCAATATCAAGTAAGCTAATTTTTAACTTTAAATCGTCACCTTGATTAAATTATTGTTGAAGATCAAAATAATCGTCTGTTTTCTAATTAAACAATTGATTTGATTTATCCTTGTACCAGCAACACTTCCTAAACGTTCTTACACGGGAGCCCGCGCAGCAGAGGGGACGAACGCATGCCACACAGCCAGCACTCGTGACATCTCACTCACGCCCTGCCTTTGATTTTAGAGATTCAAGTAACTTCTGCATTCGATTCCACTTAGAGTCTTGCTTTTAATTTTTCCGCTGTCAGATTCTGGATGTTAACAATCTAGAAAATATCTCGTGTCTTTTGTAGACAGCGCTCCCCAGGGTGGCCCTGGCGCTGGCAGAGTCTCCTTCCAGAAGGACGGTATTTTCAACACAGAAATGGCAAACTGTGGACAGCAAACTTTAAACTGACATGATACTTCTCAATAATTGGCAGAGTTTTAAAAGTTGTTATCATTTGTATTCCAACCTTACGAAAGTAAAAAATCAGTATTTCCTCTACTAAGGAAAGGGAAGTATATGGACTTCACAGAAAGTTTAACATAGTTGTAACTTTTGGAATTCTGAAACTGATCTAATTTTATTTGTCAGATTTATGTATGTGTTACTAACTGTTCAGTCTTTCTACTCTATTCCAATCTCAGATAACAGGTACTCAAAGAAACATTTCATTTTTGTTTTTAGAAACTGCAAAATGGGGGAAGCCAAGTATAAAGTGAAACTTACCTTGTTTATCTATAACTGAGTATGAGGCCAAAAATCCTCGTCCAGAAACATGGATTCCGCTCATGAACAGCACTGTAATTTCATTGCTTTTTGATTCAATTGAATGGTTCATTTGCAACCCCAGACCACAGTATTTGCCTAGAAATGAAAGAAACACAGATGTTTAGTGTGACTTCAGGAAGTCAATAATATTTACAATGTAGATAGCAGAACCAGAATAATACACCAAACTGGGTATATTCAACCAATATAAACTGATGACTAGGATGTTTAACAATTAAAAATCACATTACTCTAAAAAAAAAAAAATGAATGCCAAGTAGTAACTGTTCAAATAATTCAAAATAAAAATCAGTACAGGCATCACTGACCTTATGATGATTCAGTCTCCTGTGAAAGTACATGTATACTCTTTAAAATGTAACGAGGAAGTTAAAAAAGTTAACCTAAAGCCTTTCACTCAGGCAGGTGGCTCACAATGAACTGTCAATCAGCAGCATTCTTGACATGCTGCCCACAGGGCGCCCCGAGATTCCTGGGCTCAAGGCAGCCCTCAAAGCTTTTCACACCTTCTCAGTGCTTCTTCCAAGGATTGCTGGATTTCTGGTCAATCTTTCTGGGTCGTCGTGTCCAGCCTACAGCTTTACTAGGATCTGACAACTCCCACCCCCATGTCTACCCACAGCCTCTTCCTTAACTTCAGGAGATACATCCAACTGCCCACCCAGCTGCATCCTTCACTGTCTAACAGATGTGTGAAAAACAACAGACCCTCAGGATGGATCTAAGCTTAATAAGGTAAAAGGGAAGATGAAAGAAGAATTAGGGCAAGATATCTACCAATAATTAATAAAAATGGGTTTTCTTATGAGCTTGGTAACTTGTCTAACAACTTCTAAATAAGGAGTTCCAAGAATGTTTTAAGCTGCGGCAACATCACTTGAGTAAGAACACCATTTCCAAGGACTATACATGATCTTGTGAGTAGAAAATCCCAAGGAATCAACAAAAATCCCCACTGGAACTGGTATGGGAGCTTAGTGAGGTCACAGGATTAACAGACAAAAATCAATTGTACTTCCACATACTAGTGACAGACAATCCGAAATGAAATTTTTAAAACTTCACTTATAATATATGTAAGTTTTTATAAATGCAATGCTTTTTATAATAGCATCAAAAAGATTAAAATATTTAGGGATAAATTTTAAAAAAGAAATTCGAAATAAATACACTAAAAAATGCAAAACTGCTGAGAAAAATTAAAGAACTAAATAAAGCAGGAGACATACCAACTTCAAGGACTGGAAGACTCAGTCGTGCTAAGATGTCAATGCTCTCCAAATTGATCTGTTGATTCAATGCAATCCCTATCAAAATCTAGGGGTTTTGTTCATTTTTTTTTTAGAAATTAACAAGTTCAGCCTAAAATGTATATGGAAATGCAAAGGATGCAAAACAGTTAAAACAATTTTTGTAAGGACAGTTGAAAGATTTATACTTCCTGATTTTAAACCTAGTATAAAACTACGGTAATCAACACAGTGTGATACCACTGTAAGGACAAATCTCTCAACAAAGAAGAATACGATTCCAGAAATAAATCCACAGACATGGTCAATTTCCAAACAAATGTACTAATCCAGTTGGATATAAATATGCAAAAACAAAATGAACTTAGAACTTTACTTCACAACATATACAAAAATTAAGTCAAAATGGATGACAGATCTAAAAGTGAGAGGTAGATTTATAAAACTCTTATAAGGGAACATAGGAGAAATCTTTGTAACTTTGGATTAGGCAAAGATTTCCTAGATTCGACACCAAAAGTACAATCCAGTAAAGAAAAAATATGGATAATTTGGATTCCATCAAAATTAAAAATAGTTGGTCCTCAAAAAACGCCATTAAGAAGATGAAAAGACAAACCACAGATTGGGAGAAAATATGTGCAAAACATTAATCTGATAAAGAACTCATATCTGAAATAGGTAAAGAACCCTTGCAATTCAATCCAATTTTTTTAAATGGGCAAAAAGACCTAAATAGACACTTTAACGAAGACATACTAATGGGAAATAAGCACATGAAAAGATGCTCAACAGCATTAGCCCTTAGGGAAATGAACATCTACAATGAGACACCACTATATACCCACTAGAATGGCTATAATCAAATAATCAAAAGACTGACAATAACAAGTATTGGTGAGGATGTGGAGAAACTGGAACCTTCACACGGATGGCAGAACTGTAAAATGGCACAGCCATTTCAGACAAACAATTTGGCAGTTTCTTAAAATGTTAAACATAAACATATACATATCATACAACCCAGTAATTCCACTTCTGGCTATCTATCCAAGTTATCTATCCAAGAGGAAAGAAACCGTCCACAAAAGGACTACGCAAATGGTCATAACAGCATTTCTCATAGATGCCCCAAACAAAAAAATCTAATTGTCCATCTGCTAGTTAAGGGATAAACAAAATGTGGTACATATCCATACAAAGAATACTAATCACCAATAAACAGGAACAAGCGACTGATACACGCAACAACATGGATGTACCCCAAAAACATTATGGTAAATAGAAGATGCCATTTATGGTATTTCCAGAAAAGGCAAAAAATAGAGATAGAGAGCAGATCGGTGGCTGCCTGGGACTGGGGATGAAGTGGGAATTGACTCCAAAGGGGCACAAGGGAGCTTTCTGGTGTGACAGAAATTTCTAAACCTGGATTTTAGCGATGCTTGCACAGCTAAATAAATTTACTAAAACTCATCACACTATACATTTAAAACAGGTGAATTTTATGGTATGTAAATTATACATATCTATAAATATACATACATACATATCTATAAAGCTCTTAAAATACAAACATTGAAACAATTTTTATTGTGAGAAATCACCAGGTGTGTTTTACGCAAAGAAAAAACAGGTCCCAGAATCAGATGCAGCAGAGACCTTCAGAGATCTACTCCAAGCCCCTCTGTGACAGCTGAACAAACTGAAAATCAAACCGACAGTGGATCGACAGTACAAGAGAGGAGAAATGAGTCCAGAACCCATGTCCTGGTCTTCCCCACGCCGTTTCCTCTAGACGCCACTCACCGGAAGTGGAGCTGAGTCCGCCC